ATTGCCCAGGCTGAAGTGCAGTGGCTCAATCTTGGCTCACTGCAACTCCCGCCTCCCAGGTTCAACTGATTCTCCTGCCTCAGCCTCCTGAGCAGCTGGGATTACAGGTGTGTGCCACCACGCCCAGCTTTTTGTATTTTTAGTAGAGATGGGGTTTCGTCATGTTGGCCAGGCTGCTCTTGAACTCCTGACCTCAGGTGATCCACCCACCTCAGCCTCCCAAAGTGCGGGGATTATAGGCATGAGCTGTTGGGAAAAAGCTGAGTGTTGGGAGGGAAACTGAGGCAGGGCTTGCATAATGTCCTTGGGAATATGTCTAGACTTGCTGGCTCCTTGCTTCTAGCCCTCCTAGGTGCCTATTCCCATTATCTCAAGTAGCAGAACATGTTCCATATAAATGCTAAACCATCACAGCTGTAAATCATGTGCTTAATGCAACGTGTCCTTTTGACCTCCACATTCTTACCACCTGTTTCTCTGTTGGATTACCAATAAATAGCGTGGGCTCCCAGAGCTTGGGGACGTCCCAGCCTCCACGATTGCGATGGCTTCTTGGTGTCCCACCTTTATCTCTCAAACGGTCTTTTTCTCAATCCTTTGACTCTGCCGGCCTTTGTCACCCCCATGACCTGGTATTGGGTCTGATCACCCCAACAGTGAGCCACCGCTCCTGGCCTCTTTGTACCTTCTTTGTAAGCAAGGAGGATGGTCAGGAAGGGGGAAGGGGGAGAGAAGGGTGAGTCTGAGATGACAGCCCCATAGCTCCATGCAGTGGGCACACCCACCCCCATTTGGGAATGCAGTTGAGCTGGCAGTAGGCAGCCTTTCCAATGAAGAGAAGCCTTTCCAACGAGGAGAAGTTCTTGAGCTGAGTCAAGAACAAAGGGCAGAAGGCTGACCTAGCCTTGGGGAACCCTGTAGGAGTGGAATGCTGGCAAGGAGCCACTGAGAGGTGTGGTTCAGAGCTGGGAGGAGAAGCAACAAATACAGAACCCTAGGGCCAAGGGATCAGGGAGTTTCAAGAAGGAAGTGCCAAATGTCACATAAAGAGCAGTAGGGCAGTGATTTAGGAGAGACTAGTCAACAAATGTGATGATGTGATTACCGTTTAGATCATCAAACTAACATAATATGCTTTCCCAGACTACATATGGCCTCATATACCACATCCCCGGATGATTTGGGCCTGCCGACTTATTCCAGGTAGAGTACAGATGAGCTTGGGAGGGCCAGGAAGGCTTCAGAGAGGCGCTGATGGGATCTGATAAAGGACACAGGTCTGTGGGTGCCACCTGGGAGGTGTGTTTCCATCGGGCACTGCTCTAGAGCCGGGAATGGGAAGGAGAAGAGGGGTAGGGGGAGAAAGAGGTTGATGGGGCATTGCCGGGCTGAGGATGGAGAATGGGTTGGAGGTCCAGCATTTTTGTTTCCTCATCAGTGTCTGCCTATGGTAGGTTCCCAGCAAAGAAATGATTTACAAAAAGTGACTGAATCAATAAATGTTTAGTGTGAGATAGTCCAGTGTAACCATGAATTCAAAATTGGGTGAAATGAGAAGGCAAATAGCATGTCAGGCAGTCAGTCAGGTTATCTCAGAGTGGGGGACGTTGATGAAGACACTCAGGGACAAGTGCTTATTAATAATAGTAGCCCTTATGACACCTCTGTGTACTACCACTATAAGCTCTTCACGCATAGAGGGGTCAGCAAACTTTTTCTGTAAAGAACCAGGTAGTAACTATGTGTTTGAGGCCTTGTGGGCCATGTGGTCTGTGGGGCAACTGCTCAGCTCCTCTGTGGTAGCACATAAACAACCATAGACAATGTGTAAGTGAATGAACATGGCTGTGTTCTAATAAAACTTTATTTACAAAACATGTGATGGGCCAACCCCTGATGTATATGGTATTGACTTATTTAATCTTTAGAAGTTCTATGTGGTAGCTACTGTTATCGTTATCACCATTTTATTTTTTTATATTTTTCTTTTTTTTTGAATTTTGATGGGTCCTACTTTTTTATTTTTATGGGTGTGTATTAGGTATATATGGGCTACATGAGATATTTTGATATGGACATACAATGCATAATAATCCCATCAGGGTAAATGGGGTATCTGTTATCTCAAGCATCTATCATTTCTTTGTGTTACAGTCATCCCAAATCTTTTAGTTATTTTTAAATGTACAATAAATTCTTGTTGACTACTATAGTTACCCTGTTATCAAATACTAGATTGTATTCTATATAGTTATCCTGACTATATTTTTATACCCATTAATCATCCCTACTTCTTCGCCCCAACACTTCCCCAACCCCACAACTATTCTTCTCAGCCTCTAGTAACCATCCTTCTACTTTCTGTCTCCGTTAAGTTCAATTGTTTTAATTTTTAGCTCCCACAAACAAGAACATGTGAAGCTTGTCTTTGTGGCCTAGCTTATTTCACTTAACATAATGTTCTCTAGTTCTATCTGTGTTGTTCCGAGTGATGGGATCTTGTTCTTTTCTATGGCTGAATATTGTATATATTTACCACATGTTCTGTATCCATTCATCTGTTGATAGATGCTTAGGTTGCTTCCAAATCTTGGTTCTTCAGTGCCGCAGTAAACATGAGAGTGCAGATGTCTCTTCAATATTCTGATTTCCTTTCCTTTGAATATATACCCAGCAGTGGGATTGCTGGATCATATGTAGTTCTGTTTTTAGTTTTCTGAGGAACCTCCATACCATTCTTCACAGTGGCTGTACTAATCTACATTCCTACCAACAGTGTACGAGGGTTCCCTTTCCTCCATGTCCTGTCCAGCATTTCATTTTACAGATGAAGAAACGGAGAAGCATAGAGACCAAGTTAATTTGCCTAAGGTCACATGGCTATGAAGGTGTATGGGCAGGGTTTGAATCCTGGCAAGTCCACTCCAGAGTCCATGGTGGTAATTGCCATGCCATGCTGACTCTCGGAACCTTGGAGGGGGAGGGAGGAACCCCAGCTCCTCATCCCCTGAGGGCCTCCACCACTACCTGGCACTAGGAACTCACTAGGCCTCCATTTCCTCATTTAAAAAAATGGGGAATAATGATTATTTTTTTATATATATATAACCCTGTCTCCTATGCTGGAGTACAGTGGCGCCATCATAGCTCACTGTAGCCTTGACCTCCTGGGCTCAAGCAATCCTCCCACCACAGCCTCCTGAATGGCTGGGATTACAGGCTTTAGCCAACACACCTGGCTGAGGGGTTAAAATGAGCTAATGCATATAAATTAGCTGTCTCTGTGCTTGGACATAGCCTCAGTACTTGTACTCCTAACCCATATCTGACTCCAGCATTAGGCTCCATTCACTTCCTTTAATACCCTTCCCTTGCCCTCCGCCTCAGTAGGAACTCTCCTAGATTGTCTTCATGGCCCTTTCCCACTGTGGCCTCACACTAACTCTGATTCCACATTGATTATTGAGTCATCTGGGTTATTGGGTGCTCTGGCCTGGGGACTAAGGAGGATAGCCCTGCCCTTGAGGAGCTCGAGGAGCTGTCCCTAGGTAGCAGTGGGGACTGTTACAGAGCTGGAGCCAAGGATGGGGGCCGAGCGCACCGGAGTTGAACAAGGCTTCCTAGTGGAGAAAGCTGCTGTGTGGGAAGATCAGTAGAGCTTTCTTTGTTATTTTTTCCTCTTGGTCTAGTTTCTGAGAGCAAATCTAAAGGTCTCCTGGATACCTTAAAAGTACCACCTGGAGTCAGGTCGACTCCACATGGTTCCAAGAAGAGTTCCACTAAAGGCATCTCTGTAAGTGTGACTGACTTGAGGCAGCAGCAGCTTCGGCCATGTCAGCGTGGGTGTGCAGCCTGGAGGGTTGGGGGAAGAGGGATGCCCTTCAGCCTTTGCGCTCCCATCTACTCACCAACAGTGCTTGCTGTACCACCAGAAGAATGGGGAACCAGTGGTTTCCTGACAACTTGGAGAGAAGTCACAGTTCTCTTTAAAGTAATTAAAATTATGCTCACATCATTCTTTGTCCTGTTCCCAAGACAACGTTCTTCTGTGAAGGCGTAAGGAAAAGCAAAGAAAACATACGCTTATCTCTGCCTCTAAGACATCAAAGCCAGTCATGCTGGGGCAAGGATGGTGCGTCGGTGGACTGCAGTCACATGTTTTCTGGTTGTTGTGGTGTCACCTGGTCTCTGCATGAGCTCCCGGCCACATTAGGTGCAATGGAAAATGGCCTTATTGGTTCTTCCTTTCTCCAAGGCCTTCATCTTTGACCTGCCTGGTTAAAGGGGTTTCTTCTGCAATTTTTGAGGGAAGACCTCTCCAGGCCATCACAGACAGAAGCTTTGGAAAAACTGTGAGACTATTTCAGTTCTCCCTTGTGCCAGGAGGATAGCCTAACAGATAAAGTGCTTTCTCCTCCTTCCTTTTCCTTTCCTTTTTTGAGTTAGGGTCTTTCTCTGTCGCCCAGGCTGAAGTGCAGTGGCGTGAACAATGAACACAGCTCACTGCAACCTTGACCTCCCAGGCCCAAGCGATCCTCCTGCCACAGCCCCCCAAGTAGCTGGGACTACAGGCATGCACCACCACACCCTGCTAATTTTATTTATTTGTTTATTTATGTATTGTGAGACATAATTTTGCTCTTGTTGCTCAGTCTGGAGTGCAGTGGTGCAACCTCGGCTCACTGCAGCCTCCCGGGTTCAAGTGATTCTCCTGCCTCAGCCTCCTGAGTAGCTGGGATTACAGGCATGCACCACCACGCCCAGCTAATTTTGTATTCTTAGTAGAGACAGGGTTTCTCCATGTTGGTCAGGCTGCTCTCAAACTCCCAATCTCTGGTGATCTGCCCACCTCGGCCTCCCAAAGTGCTGAGATTACAAGCATGAGCCACTACACCTGGCCAACTAATTTTTGTAATTTTTGTAGAGATGGGGTTTTGCCATGGTTGCCCAGGCTGGTCTCATACTCCTGAGCTCAAGCAATCTTACTGCCTCAGTGTCCCAAAGTGTTGGGATTACAGGTGTGAGCCACTGTGCCCAGCCCCGCCCCCCTTCCTTTTTTTTTTGCTTCCTTGTAGTAACTGTTCTTCCTGGAAGAACAGAATCACAGGATTCAAGGCCAGCCATGACCTTGAGAGAGAACTGCCTATCCTAGCAGGAGAGCATCTGGAACCCACCCAGGGTATGGATTCAAGAGACACGTTGGGTAACTGCATCTTGGGATTAAACATTTTAACTTTTCTTTACCACCAGCCACAGTCTCTCCTCTTTAAGCCCAGGACCCATTGGTGGGCCTTGGGTGGGTTTGGGGAATAACATATTTGTATCCTTCCCATGCTGCTCAAGTGGGTATTAGGTGGTTGACCAACACTGCCAGTGAGACCTGAGCAGAGCTGAGAAATGGACAGTTTGGCTTCTAGCAGCCCATCCGCAGAGAGAGGGGCCATCTGGTGTCATTAGAGCCATGGAGGAACACCAGTCACTGTTGAGATGCTGCTAAGCACCCAGGGATGGGGGAGAGGTCCCCTGGCTTCCCCCTCTTCCCACCCCAGTGCCTCTCATTGGCTGAACCTCGCCAGAAGCCAGGGAGTCTGGAAAACAGTTTGTGGCATCAAATTTCACCCTACCTCATGGTGCAGACCTAAGCAGAGCAAGAGTAGGGAGTGGATCTGGGCAAACAGGCAAATGACTGGCTTGTTCCCTTAATTTTGCTTCAGCTACAGTTAATTGCTAATCATTCTAGAACTTTTATGATACCGGGAAATTCTTTAATCTCCTTCATCTAGAAAATGCCTCCTCTTTCTTCAAGACCAGCTGAGATGGTTTCTTCTCTGTGAAATCAGCACAGACACCTCGGAAACTGTTAGCTACCCCACACCTAGGCTCTACCAGTTCTTTGTCGGAATCTCTGTTTGTAGTACTTGCCAGCGGGATATTGTAACTGATCATTTTTCTTCCTTATTTCTTCTGTCCTTGGAGGGCTTCAAGGGTAGATGCAACATCACAGCCTCTGCATTCTCAGGACCTAACCCAGGGTCAGTGCAGGGATGTGCAGATGAGTGAGCTGTGGGATGTCCTGCTCACGGTTTCATGGATGGTGAGTGGCAGAGCAGAGACAGAGGTCTCTGGTCCTGTGCCCTTTTTAATCTGGGATTTTATCTGTAGTAATCAGTAATTCCCCAAGAATCAGAACTTGAAAACCCTGGAGACAAATTTCATGGACTTATGTCTTATTCTCTATAACATAATATATGTAAAAACTCCCCAATTTTTCAAATCTTCATTAATCCAAACTGGTTGTTGGCAGGGGTATGGAGGTAGTATGGATAGACAGACCAGGATCTACCTTTCTTTGTTAAATCTTTCTTAAACTCTGCAAAATACATTATCTTTTTTTGTTATGACTGAAGGATAAGCTCACGTTGCTTCAGAATGTGAGAATATTTATCATATGTTCTCCAGAAATCTGTAGAGATATGTAAGTAACGAATTTAAATGGTGGCATCCACAGCTTTCCTTTGGAATTCCTAAAAAATTCTCATGGAAAAGATGCATCAATTTATGAAACAAGAAGATAGTATTTCAAAGAAACTCAGCAAGAGTTCTTAGGGAATAGATGGGATATGACTTTCTCTTGTCTCTTTGGGCTTGAGTTAACAACTCTTCAGTAGGAGTACCATACTGTACATCCCATTGATGGCAAGAATAAGAATGCCCTTGACTGCAGAAAGGTGATATATAACCTCTATTTTTAGCACTTTTGATATGTTTTATTTTTCTCCTGACTTACAAGAACTGAGCTTCTTTGTGGTTCCTGGTATGTAAGCTGTTATACAAAGAGGGGAAAGATTTTAATAAAATTGAGTGCTTACTCATTTCCACTAAATAGCTGCCTGGGAATGACAGAGTACCAGCTGAAAATATCTAATTAATTAGATAAATATATTTGTTAGGTAAAAAAGCGTAGCCTTTCTAGTTCTGCTGTTGGGCTCTCTCATGTCAGTGAAGACAGTGGGTCCAGGCTTGAGGAAGCTTCAGAAGGAGATGGACCCTGCCCTGGGAGGCATCACAGCTCTGTTGATATACCAGAACGTCACCCAGAAAGACACCTCAAGTCCACATCTCACAGCCGAACATAAATGCTTATTTTTTACAATGTATGATGAGATTAAAAACCCAATTTCATAAAAACAAATACTGGACAAGACAATAACAGATTAAAGAGTGAACAAGGTCAGTGAATGACTTAGGCTTGTTGAATAGGTCTGGGAAATACACACATGAATGGGGAGAGGAAGGATAGGGCATTCAGTCCTCTGCTGGCTTTCAGCAGGAGCAAGGAGACTGTACGAGTCACATGTGCTGTGCCTGCCAGGACAAAGCTGACAAGACAAGGGCCTGCACAACAGCCTAGTAGAGCAGTGGTTTCCAAAGTGTGCTTCAAAGGCCCCTGGGGTGCTGGAACAGCTCTTACTAGGAAAACACTTAATGGACTCTTACTTCAGGTGAGTTCAGGTAAGAACCAATTGTGTGTATCTCTTTCACAGTTCCAGTTCAGTGACCTTTTGCATTGTTACCTTGAAATTAGCCATAGTGGAAGTGTTTAACTACAGAAATCGGCAAATGCTACAAATTGGAGCTTTCCCCCAGTTGAGCAGATTATTAAACGTTTACTAGCACAGCACTGCCTGCAGCTCCTTGATACACTTTTGGGGGATCTGCATGGTCAAAACTATTTTCATAATAGTACTGACATCATTTGCCATTTTTACTCTTCTTTTACAAATGCACAGAGGTGTTTTCCTGAACAGACTGAATGTAGGAGCAGACATGAGAATCCAGCTATCTTCTATTAAGCAAGACATTAAAGAGATGTGCAAACATGTAAAATGGTGACACTCTTCTCACTAATTCTTTTGTTTTGGAAAATGGTTATTTTTCATAAAAATATTATTTGTATTAACATATAATTGGCTTATTATCTTGAAGTAAATACTTTTTTAATTCCTCAATTTGACTCTCAAGTATGGTAAATATGAATAGATATAATTTGCATAAACAAAAACTCTTAGGGATCTTCCATTAAAAAAAGACAAAATTTTATTTTAGAGCAGTTTTAGGTTCACAGCAAAATTGAATGAAAGTCTGTTTATCCATTCTTTCTTTCATGGATTGTGCCTTTGGTGTTGTACCTAAAAAGTAATTGTCAAACTCAAGATCATCTAGATTTTGTCCTATGTTATCTAGTAGGAGTTGTAGGTTTTGCATTTTACTTTCATGTCTGTGATCCATTATGAGTTAATTTTTGTGAAGGTGTCAGGTCTGTGTCTAGCTTCATTTTCTGATGTGGATATCTAGTTGTCCCAGCACCATTTGTTGAAAAGACTATCTTTGCATCATTGTTTTGCCTTTGCCATTTTGCCAAGGGTCAGTTGACTGTATTTATGTGGGTCTATTTCTGGGCTTTTTATTCTGTTCCATGGATCTATTTATCTGTTCTTTTGACAATACTCCACTGTCTTGATTACTGTAGCTTTATAATAAGTTTTGAAGTTGGGTAGTATCTGTCATCTTCAATATTATGCTCTTGTGTTGGATCTTTGGCTCCTCAAGTTTTAAGAGTGTTATCTTAGACCAGGTGCTGTGGCTCATACCTGTAGTAATCCTATTGCTTTACTGAGCTGAAAGGATTGCTTGTGGCCAGGAGTTCAAGACCAGCCTGGGCAACATAGTAAGACCCTGTCTCTAAAAAAATAAAAATAAAAAAAATTAGCCAGGTGTGGTGGCACACACCCGTAGTCCTAACTACTGGGGAGGTTTAGGTGGAAGGATCACTTGAGCCCAGGAGTTGGAGGTTACAGTGAGCCATGATTACACCACTGCCCTCTAGCCTGGCTACAGAGTGAGACCCTGTCTCTGAAAAAAAAAAAAAGAGTGTTATCTTAGTCTGTTTGTGCTGTCATCACGAAATACATCAGATGGGTAATTTATAAAGAACAAAATGTATTTCTCACAGTTCTGAAGGCTGGGAAGTCCACAATCAAGACACCAGCAGATTCTGTGTCTGGTGAGGGCTCACTTTCTGCTTCCAAGATGACAGCTTATTGCTGCATCCTCCAGAGGAGATGAATACTGTTCTCACATGGGGAAAGGTGGAAGGGCAAAAGAACCTAGCTAGTTCCTTTGAGCCCATTTTAAGGTCACTGGTCCCATCCATGGATACACAGCCCTCATGACTTATTCACCTCATAAAGGTCCCACCTCTCAATACTATGACACTGGACCTTAGGTTTCAACATATGAATTCTAGGGGGGACACATACATTCAAATCATAGGGGGTCCTGAGACCAAAAGGTTGGAGAACTACTGTTGTGGCAAAAGATGGACATACACACAGATGAATTCCATAGATTCTTGTGTTAGGAAGAGTGTAGAGTGTAGTGGAGGGGAACCTGAACTGAGTTTTGTACATCCTACTGCCTCATTCTGGGGACTGAATGAGCCTGTTGCTTTAGGTACATCTCTGAGAGTCCAAATTTAGATGCTGTGTGACAGACTTGGGCCTGGCCTCAGAAGAGAATCTCAGAGGGACATAGAATATGACATTAGGGCACAGGATGTGAAGTGCCAACCTCCCCAGGAACGAGGGAACACAAAGCAGAGTAAGGAAGTTTGAAAGTGGTTCTTCGAGTTCTCTGAGAGAAAGGTGGGTCTTGGTTATTAGGGCTGTGCATGTAAATAAAATGTTTTGCCTCTTCATCTTCAGAATTAAAACTTTTGTTAAATCCCAAGAATCAGCCATGTTACTGGAGGGAACATTTATATCTTACCTACCACCCTTGAAGTTTTGCAGGAAATACTAGGGAAAAGGTGGAGCTTTGGTCTCAAACCCCAGACTTTTTATTTATTTATTTATTTATTTTTGAGACAGGGTCTCTTGCCCTGTCACCCAGACTGGAGTGCAGTGGCATAATCATGACTCACTGCAGCCTCCACCTCCCAGGCTCAAGTGATCCCACCTGCCTCAGTCTCCCAAGTAGCTTGTGCAAAGGCCCGGTGGCATAAAGTGTGGTGTATTAGAAGAACTAAAAAAAAGCCTGTGTGGCTGGAGTACAGAAAGCCAGGGAAGAGAGGTCCAGGATGCTGCTGGATTGGGGAGGATACAATCTTGAGCCTGCTTAGCATTGTCGACTTTCGCTCAGAGCCCTGAGAAGCCACTAAAAGATGAAGGGAGATAACCTTACATTGTACTTGGCATTTTGAAAGTCTCATCCTGGCTATAGTATGGAGAGTAGATTGGAGAAGAAAGCAATGAATGAACTTGTATTTAGTTCAGGTGAGAAATGATGTGGCTTGGTACTTGTCTTAGCTTGGGCTGCTATAAGAAAGCACCATAGACTGGGTAGCTTATAAACAACAGAGGTTTCTGACGGTTCTGGAAGCTGAAAGCCCAAGATCAGGGTGCCAGCGTGGTTGGGTTCTGATGAGGTCCCTGTTCCGGGCTGCAGACTTAACTGCCGTATCATCACATGGCAGCAAGAGGGCCAGGGACCTCTCTGGCATCTTTAGAGAGGAGGTCCCGACATGTTGCCTGGGCTAGACTTGAACTCCTGGGTTCAAGCCATCTTCCCACCTCAGCCTCCTGAGTAGCTGGGACAACAGGTATGCACCATCATTCCCGGCTCTCTCTTGCCTCTTCTTTTTTTTTTTTTTTTTGAAACGGAGTCTTGCTCTGACACCCAGGCTGGAGTGCAGCGGCATGATCTCGGTTCACTGAAATCTCTGCCCCCTGGGTTCACGCCATTCTCCTGCCTCAGCCTCCCGAGTAGCTGGGACCACAGGCACCCACCACTACACCTGGCTAATTTTTTGTATTTTTAGTAGAGACGGGGTTTCACCGCATTAGCCAGGATGGTCTCTATCTCCTGACCTCATGATCCGCCCTCCTTGGCCTCCCAAAGTGTTGGGATTACAGGCGTGAGCCTCCGCGCCCAGCCTTCCCTGGCCTCTTCTTATAAGGGCACTAATCCCATTCATGAGGGCTCCACTCATGACTTCATTACCTGCCAAATATGCACCTCCTAATACTGTCACATTGGGGGTTAGAATTTCCACATATGAGTTTTGGGGGGAATACAAACATTCGATCTACCACAACGGCAGTGATAGATACTCTGAGTAATATATTTGTGTGCAAGAAGTCATTACCAAACTCAAGATCATCTAGATTTTATCCTATGTTCTCTTGTAGGAGTTTTACAGCCTTGCATTTTATGTTTGTGTCTGTGATCCATTCTAAGTTAATTTTTGTGAAAGGTGTCAGGTCTGGGTCTAGCTTCATTTTCTGATGTGGATGTCCTGTTGTCCCAGCACCATTTATTGAAAAGACTTATCTTTGCATCATTGTTTTGCCTTTGCTCCTTTGTCAAAGGTCAGTTGACTATATTTATGTGGGTCTATTTCTGGGTTCTCTATTCTGTTCCCTGGATCTATTTGTCTATTCTTTTGATAGTACTACACTATCTTGATTACCATAGCTCTATAATAAGTTTTGAAGTTGAGTAGTGTCAGTCCTCCAGCTTTGTTCTTCTCCTTCAATATTGTGTTGCTGTGTTGGGTCTTTGGCTCCACAGGTTTTAAGAGTGTTATCTTAGCTTAGGTGCAGTGGATTACCCAGCACTTTGGCAGCCTGAGCCACAAAGATCACTTGTGTCCAGGAGTTCAAGACCAGCCTGGGCAACATAGCGAGACCCTGTCTGTATTAGTCCATTTTCGTGCTGCTTATAAAGACATACCCAAGACTGGGCAATTTATAAAAAAGAGAGGTTTAATGGACTTACAGTTCCATGGGGCTGCAGATGCCTCACAATCATGGCAGAAGGCAAGGAGGAGCAAGTCATGTCTTACATGGATGGCAGCAGGCAAAAAGAGAGAGAGAGAGCTTATGCAGGGAAACTTCACCTTATAAAGTCATCAGATCTCATGAGACTTATGCACATAAGAACAGCATGGGAAAGACCATGATTCAATTACCTGGGTCCCTCCCACAACGTGTGAATTTAAGAGAAGTCTTGGATGGGGACACAGCCAAACCATGTCACTGTTTCTAAAAAAATAAATAAAAATAAATAAAAAATAAAATTATTATTTTTTTTAAATTGGCCAGGTGTGGTGGTGTGTGCCTGTAGTGCCTGTAGTCCCAGCTACTGGGGAGGGATCAGTTGAACCCAGGAGTTGGAGATTACAGTGAGCCATGATCACACCACTGGCCTCCAGCTAGAAGTCATCTGGTCCAGCCTCTAACCTGAGTACCCCAAAAGACATTGCACCTTTGCCGGAGACCCCTAGTGGCAGGAGGTTGTCACTGTTGTTTCAGAGTGACAACAGAATGACCATGTGAATGATGTACATTAATTATGAGACAAATAACCAAAGCACCTTACGGCTGTAGTTGTTTCAGTATTTGCACACTTAATTTTCCTTCTTCTCCCCTGACCCCTGCAGAATGGCTTATTCAGAAGAGCATAGAGGTACGCCCTGTGGTTTCATTCGCCAGAATTCGGGCAACTCCATTTCCTTGGATTTTGAGCCCAATATAGAGTACCAGTTTGTGGAGCGGTTGGAAGAGCGCTACAAATGTGCCTTCTGCCGCTCGGTGCTTCACAACCCCCACCAGACAGGATGTGGGCACCGCTTCTGCCAGCACTGCATCCTGTCCCTGAGGTGAGTGCGCAGGGCCTGCAACTCTGGCCATGGCAGGCCCAGCATCCAGGTGGCAACTGTGGCCACTCAACTGTTTTCACGGGTTTTGGAGTTGCTTAACTTGGCCACAGGTCCATGACTATAAGGAAGGACTCTCCCAGATCCCTTCTGTGAGGGCCTGAAGAATAATCATTTTTTGGTCACTAATTTACAGATATTCACCTTTTCTTAAAATGCAGACTGCTCCTGCTTTGCATGGGAGAGCAGACCTAGACACACACTCCATCATGGGAGCTGGCTGTGGAGAAGGGTTTGAATCTCACAATGTCTGTGTTGTAGTTACCCCAATCTTCCCTTGCTTTGAGGAAGAGGTGCTGTGGCTCCTAGAAGGGACCTTGCTGCCACGGATGCTGTCCATTCTTGGGCAGCTGTAAGACCTGGGTCATGCTGTGTTGAGGGAGGAGACCAGGAGAGATGTGAAAGCAGGCACACTTTGGGGGGTTATGTAGGAAGCAAGGCAGTCATTTTACCCTGCCAAGCTTTGAAAGGGGGTTATTACAGTGCATCCTCATTCCTTCATGTGTTGGTGTGTTCAGCACCTCTGTGTTCTGTGCTCTCATGCTGAAGAGCTACAGCGTGGAATAGGACCCCATGTCTGCCCTCTAGAATGTCCCAGTCTGGAGGAGACAAATGTGGCACAGTGTGATAAACAAAGGACAGGGACTTTTAACTCTGTCCAGGGACTCACTGACTGCATCCTGGAGGATGCATGAAGTTTTTCAGGCAAACTGAAAGACTAGGAAGGTGTTGAAGGACGGGTGCAGAAGGCACCTTCTGGGTAGAGGGAATAGCATGTGCAGACAGGGACCAGCCTGCCCAGGGCTAGAGCATGACTGGAGCCCTGGGGCTGGTCTTGGAAATGCTGTTGAGGTAAACAACTAACTCTGACTCTATTTTAATTTTTTTCTCCAGAGAATTAAACACAGTGCCAATCTGCCCTGTAGACAAGGAGGTCATCAAATCTCAGGAGGTAAGAAAGTCACTGCTTTAGTCTAGCAGCTCTCAGGGTGATGGAGAAGAAGTCAATGAATTGGACATTGAGATTGGAGCAGGAGAGTGGTCAAGGGAGACCTTCTTTGAAGTCCATATTCTTCTGCTGTGGAGTCACATCAGACCCTACTCGTAGCCCTGTTTGAGAGGCTTGTTTGGATCTTTATTGACCACACCCCTCCTCCACCCCAAGTCTCCTCTCCTGCTGCTTCTTTATCCCCTTCCTATACTAGCTCTAGCTAATATATTTCATTATGGTTTTGATTTGCATTTTCCTGTTGGCTAATGAAGTTGAGCATTTTTTCATGTGCTTAGTGGCTATTTGTACATCTTCTTTGTTAAAAAAGCCTACTTATTTTCTTTGCTCATTTTAAAAAATTGAGTTATTTACCTTTTGTTGAATTATAAGAGTTATTTATAGCCTGTAATCCTAGCACTTTGGGAGACTGAGGTAGGCAGATCACGTGAGGCCAGGAGTTTGAGACCAGCTTGACCAACATGGCGAAACCCTGTCTCTACTGAAAATACAAAAATTAGCTGGGTGTGGTAGCGCACATCTGTAATCCCAGCTACTTGGGAGGCCGAGGCACAAGAATCGCTTGAACCCAGGAGTTGGAGGTTGCAGTGAGCTGAGATCATGCCACTGCACTCCAGCCTGGGTGACAGAGCAAGACTCTGTCTCAAAAAAAAAAGAAAGTTCTTTATATATTCTGGATATAAATCTCTTAGCAGCCGTTTGGCCGCTAAATTTGCAAGTATTTTTCTTCCATTCTGTGGGTTGTCTTTTCCCTTTCTTGACAGTGTGTTTGAAGCACAAAATTTTTTCATTTTGATGAAGTCTAATTCATTTGTTTTTTTTCTTTTTTTGGTTGCTGTTTCTTTTTTGGTGTTGTATCTAAGAAACCATTGTCTGTTCCATTGTCATGAAGGTTTTCTCCCTTAAAACTCCTCTTTAAGTTCCGTTTTCTTCCTTTAAGATTCTGTTGCAGGATGTTCAAGCAGAAGCTTTCCTTGAGCCTCTAGTCTGCTGTACATGCATCTTCTCTATACCCCTTATGATGTGTTTTGCAAATACCTACAACGGGGCTGTGCTGCAGTTAGTGTCTGTCTGACCTACTGTCCCGGGGTTGGATACTACAGTCTTGGGACAAATCCAGCCTGCCACCTGTTTTTGTATGGCCTGTAAGCTAAGAAATTCTTTTTACATAATGGTGGGTGCATAGAAACCCTCATATTTTTGCAACTTCTTGTGAGTCTTAAACTACTTCAAAATAAAAATTCATTTTAAATAATCAAAAGAAGAAAGTATTGTGACATGTAGAAATTATGTGAAGTTTAAATTTCAGTGTTCATAAATAGTGTTCTATTGGAATGTAGCTGTGCCCATTCATTTAAGTATTGTGTATGGAAGCGTTGAAATGTGGCAACAGAGACGATTGTGATGTGGACTCTCTGACCCCTTACAGAGAAAGTTTGCCGACTCCTGGTTTGTGCTAAAATAGCAAGCCAGCACAGCCTCAGTGACACTGTCTGATGAGTAATACATTTACCCTGGGACTGGAAGCTGAAAGCATCACTCTTGACCAAGCTTTACCTCCTGACGTTTAAGAATGTGGGGTCAGGTTCACCATAAGATTCACCTAGCTGCAGCCTGTTGCACAGGGCATTGTTACCTGGCTTATATGTTTGATGGTTTGTCAAAAGCATATATCTGAGACAGCCTTTTCTTTCAGTGTGGTGTAAGTGTGATATTTTCATTCCAGCTGGTGTCTGGAAGTTTCCACCTGCCTTCTGAGATATACTTGAAGACCAAATTAATAATAGCTTAATTCACATTGCTGTAAAACTTTGGAGTGTGTGAGACCTATTATGTTTATCTTTTAGGTTTTTAAAGACAATTGCTGCAAAAGAGAAGTCCTCAACTTGTATGTATATTGCAGCAATGCTCCTGGATGTAATGCCAAGGTTATTCTGGGCCGGTACCAGGTTGGTATTATTCATGAACAATATCTGCCTTTGCCATTTTTCCAGGGATATGTATTGAACCCCTTTATGTGACAGTTACTGAGCTAAGCATGGTACAGAGATTCAGTGAATTGCCCTCAAGGATTCCCAGTCTAGCAATACAGCTGGCTACAGTGCTATAGCCCACCTAGCGCTGAGGTGTGAGTGAAGAGGTTCGTCCTGTATGGAGCGCATGGAGAACATCTTGTATCCACTAGACCTTAATTGTGTAGTAGGGATCACTGAGCCAGAAGAGAGGGTGTGGGACATGCTGGACAAAACAAACACTCAAGAATATGTTATTTGGGGGGAACTGTGTGGGACCCAGGGCATGACTACAGAAAGATACAATTGTGAGGTCCTTCCCCAAAAGCATTTGCTCTCTCACTTGGTGCTGTCTAGGTGTTTCCCAGCAACTGTGGGGCCTGGCCTCATGGAGTTTATGATCTAACACAGATCACTTAGACCAGGACAGAGACAGGCTGTGGGTTAAAGGTAAAGCATTGATAGGAGAGACAAACCAACAAGTTGTAGGGGAAATGTAAGTGAAGGGGAATTGAGTGCCTTTCAAATGAAGTAACCCCAACTGCTCTTCCCTCCAGCTAGGGAAGGTGGTTAAATGGGAAGCTGGAAGTGTGGTGCTGCCTGGCAAGCCCATGTCAAGTTTGATCACACTGCACGTGAACATGACTCAGGCTTCTCTAACTTCCAGGGAATTGCTGAGAGGCTGCGAAATTTCCCCTGCACACCCACACATTTTGGAACACATATTTCAGATGATTCAGTCTTTTCTCTATCACACCTCCAAATCCCTCAGGCACTGAGCTTATAAATGTGTATATGATTTCCTTGTTAACCCAGGGATTTATTTGGAGGTTCATAGACTGTTTGTTATGTGTTATGTTTTCATGTGTCCTTTGCCTCTTGTTTGAATAGTCAAGTCCTAGAGCAAGGCCTTTTTTCCAACTTTGTTGTCACTAGGCCTAAAAAGTAAATGAGGCTCAAATGGACCATTGAACAGCTTTAGTGACCAAAACTGGCTTGTGGAGAGCAGGGGCTGGTTACTCTCCACCTATTTCTTTTATATTTCCCCTCATTCCTTGTTTCCCACCCACCCCCTTGTGTGGTAAGGTGTAGAATCTTACAGGTCGCAGAGTTTTGATGAATATTGACTGGGTGAGGGTTGAGGAGTAATATCAACCAATTTTGGAGAAGAGATGGATTCTAACTGTGATCACCATGTGATTCTTACTACCAGAGGTGAAGGAGAATAGCTGTATTTGTTTATCTCACTGTCAAAAAACTGTTTGATTTTCTTCTGAGAAGGGGTCAGCGAACTCTGTTAAGAGTCAAACAATAATAATAATAATAATAATAATAATAATAATAATAAAGACCCAGATAGTAACTATTTTAGGCTTTGCAGGCCATACAGTCTCTGTCACAATTACTCAGCTCTCCGGTTTGAGAGGGAAAGCAGCGCTAGACAATACGTGAAGGAATAGGTGTGGCTCCTCTCCAATAACACTTTAATTATAAAAACAAGTAGCAGGCTGGATTTGGCCTGTGAGTCTTAGCTTGCCAATTTTGTCTTAAAGGACCCTCAGAGGGACAAATTCTCTAACATTTTGGTAACTTGCCAGCATGACAATAACTGCAGTGATTCAAAGGTTTTCACTGAGATATGCCTGCTTTTTAACATCTAGAATGTTGGCCAGGCGTGGTGGCTCATAACTGTAATACCAGCACTTTGGGAGGCCAAGGCGGGCCAGTCACCAGAGCTCAGGAGTTTGAGACCAGCCTGGCCAACATGGCAAAACCCTGTCTCTACCAAAAATACAAAAATTAGACGGGCATGGTGGCTGGCACCTGTAATCCCAGCTACTCGGGAGGCTGAGGCAGGAGACTTGCTTGAAACCTGGGAGGTGGAAGTTGCAGTGAGCCGAGATGGTGCCACTGCTCTTCAGCCTAGGTGACAGAGCAAGACTCTGTCTAAAAAAAAAAAAAAAAGAGAAAAAAAAAACTAGAACGTCCAGCCTGGCCAACATGGTGAAACCCTGTCCCTACTAAAAATACAAAAATTAGCTGGGTGTGGAGCACACCTGTAATCCCAGCTACTCTGGAAGCTGAGGCACAAGGAACGCTTCAACCCAGGAGGTGGAGGTTGCAGTGAACGGAGATCGTGCCACTTCACTCCAGCCTGGGTGACAGAGAGAGACCCTGACTCAAAAGTAAAATAAAATAAAATAAAATAATATAAAAATAAAAAATAAAATAGAATGTGAAGAATCCTGGAGTGAACACTGTCCATGTCATCATTCTCTATGATGATTAAATTAAATCATTTAATATTTAATATTAAATATTAAATAGTATATATAATGTTATATATTATATTGCATATATATGTTATATAATATATTAGTAATATATTATCAAATATTACTTAAATAATATTAAATATATTTTTGTATGATAATGTTTTATGTTTGACAATGTTGAAATAACAGTGAAAAGAGAATATTTAAATATGCTTTTCTGAAATCTAAGTCAGAGTGTTTAAATAAGATTCCCAACTACAGATTTGTGTGGAGTCTCTCTGTCACACTAGTGAGTGCAGTGCTTTAATCTTGTGGCTCACTCAGCCTCAACTTCTGGATCTGTGATCCTCCACCTCAGCCTCTCACCATGGTTGGGATATCAGGTGCACACCATGTAACATATGTGTTCTTCAAAATTTGCATGGGAGATAAGTCTTGGGGATCAGGACTTGTGGTCTGTGAAAGCATTAAATGATCTCATCTCATTTCTCTAAAAAGTTTCTGTGATTAAGGCATGGTACACCATGTCTGACCAAATGTTAATGGTATTAAATTTGCCTGGTTTTGCAGTCTGACAGCCATTCTAAGCTTCTCTTCATTTTCTGAACCTGCTGTTTCCTCCTTTCCTTTATCATTCTGAATAACTTCCTCACCTTTCCACACTTGTGCTGATCTTGTGCCATCTCCTTTCTTACTTGGGATTCAGGATGTCTTACCCTTCTCTCCTTTTCTTTCTTTTTCTGTGTCCTTTTACCATCTCCCTTGTGCAAGAGGTCTGCCAATCTGTTTGGGGATTGATGGAAAGTCACAAAATATAAAAATATCTGAAGAACTGTTAGGTGGAAATGTCAAGACTAACCTGTCAGGAATACTTCAGGCGTTCATTAAGATCAGCGTCTAAGCAAACAGTGTGCTTCCTCCTCACTGTCTGTCCTCAGTTACCTAACAAGATGCCACAGAAAGCACACATCAGTGTTTGACATCATCCCCATCTCCTCTCCTCCTCAGCAGGAAGCGGCGGGTTGGGCCTCCTCTACCACCTGAGGCCCTGCCTCTCCACTTTTGCTGCTTTCCAAGCCGCTCTGCTGGCTCCCCGCCCCACCTGTTCTCGCCCTCCTACGGAGCCTTTCAGCTGGTAACCTGCACTCCACGGTCAGCGAGTCCACACCGGCCTGTTGTTATCTGTTTTGGGATCTCACTCTAGTGGTGTATGTTTCAAAATATATATACAGTGTTTCCATGAGAACTCTGCCAGGAATAGTCTCTCAGGAAGAGACCTAGAAAGAGCATTTACAGGTGCACTCTGTCAGTTTGGGAGGGAAGAAATGCCTTTATTTGCCGAAAAGGATCTTGGCGTAATTAAAATCAAATATACAATTAAAGAGCAACACTCACTGACAGTCTTATGGGCTAATTCTGTATACAATAATACAGAAAGGTAAGATCAGGAGTGAATCATGAAGAGCATTCACCATTCTGTTTATTTTTAGAATTGATCTAAAAATTTTTCTGAAGTTCACAAGAAAAGCCAGACTTCTTAATTGTTTGGCATCTTCAGGTGACTTTATTAAGCGAAGCGTTTCATTGCGGGAACACATGCGTATTGCTATATATGTAAGAATGCCCTGGGCCAGCGAGTCTGGAGGTGAAAATATATCAGTTCTAGGTGAATTCTGCAGGTGTGGGGGATGTAGGCATATTAAAAAAGCATAGGTACCTTTGCTGTCTACAGAAGGAGCTATGCAGCAGTTCCAATCTACATGGTCACTGCTCTGACTTTCTGCTTTTGGAAATAATTGGAAAATTTAATATTTGTTAAGTTCATTCTCCCTTTAAGTGTGGACCTCTTTAATCACCACTGCAGACGAGCATGCTTCTGTAGAAATTGCCACATGGCCACTGCACTCATCACCCCAAAGACCACAGTCATAATCACACTGTAAACCCTGTGTTGTGTTATATGTTGTTCTACACATCGAGGATGGGGGAATTACAGTTCTGAGAGAAGTCTGGGCTAATTGTTACTTTTCTCAGAAAAGACAGGCCAATAATAGTATATATAATGTTATATATTATATTGCATATATTAAATATATATTATTTATAATGTATTAAATATATTTACATGTAAATAATGTTTATATTTAATAATGTTAAATAACATTAGAGAATATTTAAAATAACTTTTAAAATAAAATTAGAGAATATTTAAAATAAAATTTAAATAACTTATTATTTGTGACAGAGTCTCTGTCACCTAGGCTGGAGTGCAGTGGCACAATCATAGCTCACTGCAGCCTCAAACTTCTGGACTCAACTGATCCTCCCACCTCAGCCTCCTGTGTAGTTGGGACCTCAGGTGCACACTGCAACACTTGGCTAACTAAAAAAAATTTTTTTTTTTTGTGGAGACAAGGTCTTGGGGTCTTATTGGACTTGAGTCCTGGCTTCAAGTGATCCTCCCATCTCAGCCTCTCAAAGTTCTGGGATTAAGAGCATGAGCCACCACACGTGGCCAATAAAGTATTATTAATTATTAAAAATTTTCCTGATTTTACCAGTCTGACCATTCCTAGCTTCTCTTGGGCCTGCGAACCTGTATTTCCTCCGCCTCCTTTATCATTTCTGGAATAGCTTCCTCTGCCTTATTTTCGTCTTCTTAATCCTTTCCCTTTCTTCCTTGAGTTAGGATATGCCCTTCTCTCCTTTTTTCTTTTTTCTGTGTCCTTTTACCATCTGCTGTGCAGAGACCCATACTTGATGCTGGGGGTTGGTATGAAGAGTCCACAAAAAAAATAAAAATGTCCTTGAAGAACTGGTAAATTAAGGAAAATATCCAAGAACTAACCTGAGAATATGAGCACGTTATTAGATCATCTAAAACAAACTTGGTGTACTTCCCTCCTCACCCATCTTCCCCTGTCCTCTGAATTCCCCCCAAGACTGGCTTTCCCATCTGTGGTACAAGCATCCCTCCCCATCTCCTCTCCTCAACAGAGGCAGTGGGCAGCATCCCCTGAGAGCCTACCCTCTGCCTTGCCCTGTGCAAGCCTTTCTGCCCAGCTGCCCACCCTGTTCTCTCTCCCTCCCTGGGCCTTCCAGCTGACTTCCCTCCTACCACACTGGTCAGCAGGTCCCACTGGCCTGTTGTTATCTGTTGCAGGATCACCTTCAGCAGTGCTTATTTCAAGCTGTGCAGTGTTCTAATGAGAACTGCCGGGAACCAGTCCTACGGAAAGACCTGAAAGAGCATTTGAGTGCATACTGTCAGTTTCGAGAGGAAAAATGCCTTTATTGCAAAAAGGATGTGGTAGTCATCAATCTACAGGTAAAAAACAACACACACAACAGTCATCTTTATGGAGCTAAATTATGCCTGACTGGTCACAGTGAATCAGGTGGAATGCCAGAAGAACATTCCTGCATTTGTTTTTGTACAGAATTAGTCTAAAGAATTTGCTTTTTGGAGAGAAGTTCTGTGAAAAGCTTAAAACCTTCTTGTTGGTAGCACTGTCTTCATTTACTATTGGCAAAAATGTTATTTGAACACATGCTGTGTATGTGTAAGGAATGCTGGGCGCTGAGTCACAAGGAGGTGAAGATAATGTCTACGTTCTGAATTCTGCAGTGTAGCTGGGGAGGCAGGATGTAGGCATAAAAAGAAAGCATGGGTACCTTTTACATGTCCCGAAGGAGCTATGCTGGCAGTTCCCCAATCTACCTTCTTTGAGTCCTGTGCTCTATGACTTTCTTTTGAAATAATTGGAAAATTTAATATTTTAATTAAGTTCATTTATACCTAGAAAGTGGACATCTTTAATCCTTTTTTGGAACTAGGCAATAACTTCCTGTAGAGAGTAAGCCACATGACATATATCCCCAAAGAGACACAGGTGTAATCACTGTGAGGCCATGAAAGATAACCCTTGGCTTTGTTTTATTGTACTTTGTCTGTTTCAGAATCATGAGGAAAACTTGTGTCCTGAATACCCAGTATTTTGTCCCAACAATTGTGCGAAGATTATTCTAAAAACTGAGGTAACTGCAAATAATCCTCTCTGTAGATTTTATGGAAGATGAAGTTTTAGTAATCATTGTGGTCTGTGTTTGATAAAATCCAAAATATAAGGGCCCAGGGCTTAAATTACACTCATGACCATGACATATCTGCCTTCCCTTCTCTTTTTCTGTAAACTCTCTTCAGTTTTCATCACAGCTCTTTCTTGCCAGGCCTCTCTCCTTCTCCTGGTCCTTGCCTTCTTCCCAAGCCACCCTTGGCTCCCTAATTGCTGCAGTTGGGAAATAAGTGATGAATTTCTATAGCTTGTGACTTTGCATTTCGTAGGTGGATGAACACCTGGCTGTATGTCCTGAAGCTGAGCAAGACTGTCCTTTTAAGCACTATGGCTGTGCTGTAACGGTATGGAATGACTTTTTGTTTCTGCCTATACATTCTACTGTATAATTTGCTTGGCAAGTTCAGTTTACTCTCTGTTCCATCGAGGATGGAGAATTACAGTTCTGAGAAATCTAAGGCTAATTATTTTAGAGTTCTCCAGAGAAACAGAACCAATGGGGATATATACATATATAGAGATTTGTTTTAAGAAGTTGGCTCTTGCAGTTGTGGGGGCTAGCAAGTCCAAAATCTGCAGGGAAGCTCAGCAATCTGGAAACTCTGGCTGTCTGGAGTTTCTATGCTGCAGTTTTGAGGAGAAGCATTTTTTCTTCAGGAAACCGTAGTGTTTGCTCTGAAGGCCTTCAAATGATTGGATAAGGCCTATCACACTATAGAGGGTAATCTGCTTACTTCAGGTCTACCAATTGTTCTCACCACATCTATGAAATACCTTCACAGTAACATATAGACTTGTTTTGAGCAAACAACTGAGCACCTTAGCCTAGCCAGGTTGACACATAAAATTAACCATCACAATAATTATTTCTTTGTTCTTTTTGTTTTCCTTGAGACAGAGTCTCACTGTGTCACCCAGGCTAGAGTGCAGTGGCGCAATCTCGGCTCACTACAACCTCTACATCCCGAGTTCAAGCAATTCTCCTGCCTCAGCCTCCTGAGTGGCTGAGATTACAGGCACCTGCCACCACGCCTGGCTAATTTTTGTATTTTTGTTAGAGACAGGGTTTCACCATGTTGGCCAGGCTGGTCTTGAACTCCAGACCTCGGGCGATCCACCTGCCTTGGCCTCCCAAAGTGCTGGGATTACAGCACCGTGCCTGGCCCACAGTAATTGTTTGTAATTCTGATTCCATTGCCTCCAGCTGGTTTGGGAACCTTCTGGGGTTACTCCTCTCATGATTACAAATCCTGGTTTTATGGTGATATACCCTTGTATGTTACCAAGTATACTGAAAAAAAAAATGGACTTAAAATCGTGTTTTAATATGTATGTTATTACCTTTTAAATGCTTTAAAATAATACTCAATGAATTATACAAAATAAAATAAAATTTGATTTCTATTTCAGTCTTTTTAGTAAATTCCAGACGGAGCAGAGTTTTAGGTATTAAAATATGTCATGCTCTGTATTATCATTCTGTATTTTCTATAAATCTAAAATTATTCAGAAATAAAAAGTTTACTTCAGAAATCATGAAAATACTAGAAGGAAAGATGAGTGATTTTTTTTTTTTTTTTTTTTTTGAGACGGAGTCTCGCTCTGTCGCCCAGGCTAGAGTGCAGTGGTGGGATCTTGGCTCACTGCAAGCTCCACCTCCTGGGCTCACGCCATTCTCCTGCCTCAGTCTCCTGAGTAGCTGGGACTATAGGCACCCGCTACCATGCCCGGCTAATTTTTTGTGTTTTTAGTAGAGACGGGGTTTCACTGTGTTAGCCAGGATGGTCTCGATCTCCTGACCTTGTGATCCGCCCGCCTCAGCCTCCCAAAATGCTGGGATTACAGGTGTGAGCCACCGTGCCTGGCTGAATTTTTTTATTCTTAAAGAGGCTGGTGCGGTGGCTCATACCTGTAATCCCAGCATTTTGGGAGGCTGAGGTGGGTGGATCATTTGAGGTCAGGAGTTTAAGACCAGCCTGGCCAACATGGTGAAACCCTGCCTCTAACAAAAATACAAAAATTAGCTGAGTGTAGTGGTACATGCCTGTAATCCCAGCTACTCGGGAGGCTGAGGTATGAGAATTGCTTGAACCCGGGAGGCTGAGGTTGCAGTGAGCTGAGGTCACACCACTGCACTCCAGCCTGGGTGATAGAGCGAGACTCTGTCTCAAAACAAACAAACAACGCCCCCGCCCTGCAACAACAACAAAAGCCCTTTCTTAAATGACTAACACAAAACCAGAAGCCATAATTTTGATAAACTTATAAATAGTTAAAACTTCTATATGATTTTTTAAAATACCATAAATAAAGTCAAACAGCAAACAATGAACTGGAGGGAAAAGTTTACAACATATGATCAGACAAAAAAAAAAGGGGGGGGTTATTTTCCTTTATATACAAAGAAACCTTTAGTGTTAATAACTTACTCAACTTAATGGAAAAATAGGCAAAGAAATATAGTATATAGGCAGTTCCAGAAAAAAATTCATTTGACTGATAAATATAAGAAAAGATGCTCATTTCACTCCTAAATAAATGTACATTTTAACAAGAAATATAATTTTACCTAATGTGATCAAATTGACAAAGATTAAAACATCTTATGATATCTCACTTTTTTTAGGGTGATTTGGTTATATCTATGAAAATAAAAAAATGAATCCATACATTGTGCATTTCTGCTAGGATTTATGTTACAGATATCCTTTCTTAAATTATACAGTGATTACACATACACAAACACACACAAAGATGTTTATTATTGTTTGTATAGCAAGAAAATCCCACAACAACCCAAAACTAAAAACAACCTATAAGTCTATCATTAAAACACCAACTATATAATTATATATTCATATTTTAGGATATTATATAGCTGATAAAAATAATGAGATATGTAAAAAATTAAATATAGTATGTTCTCATTTGTGTTAAAAATGTGTATATATCCTTACTGACTCTGGTAAGACTAGGAAATTGGGTGTGGAGATGGAAAGAGGAGGCCTTTTACTTTTCATTCTTCATCTTATGTTGTTTGACATAAGCACATATTTCTTTTATTTTAAAAACCATTTTAAAAAATGTATATTGTGAGAAGGATTTTTTAAAAAATCTATGAAGAAGTCTATAAATTTGTCATATATCAAACCAGAGGTTGTCTTGGCTGCAAAAAGGATGGGGTTTACCTTTCTTGTGCATCAGCACAATTGTCCAGCTTGGGCAACATGGTGAAACCCTGTCTCTACCAAACAATACAAAAATTAGCCAGGTATAGTGGCGCACCCTGTAGTCCCAGCTCCTTGGGAGGCTGAGGTGGGAGAATCCCTTGAGCCAGGGAGGCAAAGATTGCAGTGAGCCAAGGTCATGCAATTGTAATCCAGCCTGGGCAACAGAGTGAGACCCTGTCTCAAGGAAAAAAAAAAAAAAAAAAAGTGCAGAATTGCTTTCTAGCTCTAAAAATGATCTTTACAATCAGGCCCAAATCTCCAGTTGGTTTGTATTCTAGAACTTGCCTCAGCATCAGAGCTTGGAATGGCTGGGGGAGTTATTCTCTGGAACGTTATTTAGGACAGCCTGTCACCAAAGAAGCCAACCCTAACCCGAATGTAAATTGATGATAAATATTTAGTTAGACTGCATGGATCACCTTGATGCACCTAACAAACATTTGCTTTTACTGGTAGTATAGGCAGGCAGTCTGCAAAAAAAATATTTTAATGATTAGGGAAAAAGCAACCATTTCTTCTTGCAAATGTATTCTGTGGTTTTGAGGGCAACATATATGTATGGGCTGAAATTAAAATCAGGTGGCATTCCTTCTGCCCATGGCAGCCAGTCCATGATTGGAGGCAGCATGGAAATGTGCTTGACAGGAGGAAGAACTAGTGTTGACTTAAAACTGATTTGAAGAGGCCAGGCGCGGTGGCTCATGCCTGTAATCCCAGCACTTTGGGAGGCCAAGGCAGGCAGATCATGAGGTCAGGAGTTCAAGACCAGCTTGGGCAATATGGTGAAACCCCATCTCTACTAAAAATACAAAAATTATCCAGGCATGGTGGCATGTGCCTGTAATCCCAGCTACTCAGGAGGCTAAGGCAGGAGAATCGCTTGAACCCAGGTGGAGGTTGCAGTGAGCCAAGATCGTGCCACCGCACTCCAGCCTGGGTGACAGAGTGAGACTCCATCTCAAAAAACAAACAAAACTGATTTGAAGATAACCCACGAAGGAGATAGGTTTTATATGGGAATAGTTGAGAGATGATAATAACTACGCTTAACCCACAGTCATATACTCCCAGGGCAAGGAAGAAAATCAGCCAGGGCAAGGAAGAAAATCAGCACTGCGAATTTTGATATTGGCCTGATTCTCTGTCTCATGGATATTGTAGAATCCTAAAGCTGGGGCCAGGTATGGTGGCTCACACCTGTAATCCCAGTACTTTGTGAGACCAAGGCAGGCAGATCACTTGAGGCCAGGAGTTGGAGACCACCCTGGCCAACATAGTGAAACTCTGTCTCTACTAAAAATACAAAAATTAGCTGGGTGTGGTGGCACACACCTGTAATCTCAGCTACTCGGGAGGCTGGGGCACAAGAATCTCTTGAACCCAAGAGGCAGAGGCTGCAGTGAGCCAAGAACACACCACTACACTCCAGTCTGGGCGACAGAGCAGAGCAAGCTGTCTCAAAAAAAAAAAAAAAAAAAAAGAATCCTAAAGCTGGAAAAGGGACCCACTGGAGTCATTTTTCCTGCAACCCACTAGAGACTGGTGCATGTTTAAACTACTAAAGTAAGCAAAGTTGTTAAGGTTCTATTTTAGCAGAATATCCTACCACCTCTTTCATTTTTGAAGCCTCTCAGCAACCTGACTTATTTTTCTCTTCATATTGAAGGATAAACGGAGGAACCTGCAGGAACATGAGCATTCAGCCTTACGGGAGCACATGCGTTTGGTTTTAGAAAAGAACGTCCAATTAGAAGAACAGGTAAATCTTCAAAGGTTCAAATAAAAAGTGAGGCAACAGAATTGCTACTATTTGCCTGCTCTATGCTGGTATTTTTCTATTCTCCTCTATTTCAGTATGAGTCAATTGGAGGTAGATGTTTTTCTGTTAAGTGGCCAAACAGGCTCACAGGATTATAGAACATTAAAATTGGAAGGTGCTGTTAGGATCCTTGGGTCCGTCCCCCTCATTCAACAGATGAAATAACTGAACTCTGATACATTTTTATGTGTTTTAATCGTTAAGTAGCAGAATTCAATCTGAAAACTCATGTCCTCTGATTCTAAGTCCAGTACTCCCCATGGTATACCATAACTGCCTCTCAATAGCCTATCTACACACCTTTTGGTTAATACCTGGCACTTAGCAATTTGATGTTTCAGTTACATTAATATTACTGTGAAACAACAGTTGACTATCTATTCTAAGCAGTATGGGTTTTATAAATTTTGTGGTAAGTCTAAACTCCTGCCTTTGAGAAGCATTGCAACCTGATAAATGCATACATCCACACTTATTTCACCGAGTTGTGATTATCAAGTGAAATTATATGCAAATGCCTGCCATAGTGCCTGTGGCACTCATATTAACCTCAATAAATGCTGATTCTATTGAGCAATTTTTAGGAAAGTTAATTATTTTGTTAGAACATCTCAGAAAATCAGACTTTTCTTTTTTTTTTCTTTTTTTTTTGAGACGAGTCTTGCTCTGTCACTGAGGCTGGAGTGCAGTGGCGCGATCTTGGCTCACTGCAAGCTCCGCCTCCCGGGTTCACGCCATTCTCCTGCCTCAGCCTCCCGAGTAGCTGGGACTACAGGCGCCCGCCACCACGCCTGGCTAGTTTTTTGTATTTTTTAGTAGAGACAGGGTTTCACGTGTTAGCCAGGATGGTCTCGATCTCCTAACCTTGTGATCTGCCCGCCTTGGCCTCCCAAAGTGATGGGATTACAGGCGTGAGCCACCGCGCCCAGCGGAAAATCAGACTTTTCAAGCCCAGGTAGGGAAGAAAACCATTTTCAGAAAAAGAGCTGATGTTTGCTACTGCAGATGATTTTTTGATGTCTGATTTTCTATTAAAGTAGGTGGGTGAGTTCCAGGGTCAGATCCTGGAGAAAATTAGGAAGACTGATGAAACAGTAACTTTGGTAGAAGGCATGCTGCCTAGTAACCGTTCCCAAGTTTTTTCTGTATCAGTTGCCTCATTCATCCATCCTTTCATTCAAGAAACACCTACCATATGTCAGGTACAATGTTTGCTGCTAGTGACACTGAGCCAAGGAAGACATAGCCTCTATCCTTGAAGAACGAACATAAATGTAAATAGGTTAGTTGTCATGCCTTGTAGGACATGCTGTAACTCAGTCTGGGGTACAGAGGCTGCAGCAGTTTATTCTGGGGGAGTTGGGGAAGACTTTCAAAGTAAGACATCCAAGCTGCCTCTTGAAGGAGGAAGGATTCATCAGTTAAAATGTTGTGGAAGAAGGACATCCAAAAGGGAGAGCTTGCACTGAAGCAGGGAGGCATAAGAAACGCTGATGAATCAAGGAAATGGGGTTTTAGGATGAATGGACTTCTGAGTATGAGATAGAGAGAGGCTGCAGACTAGTGTGTTGGATCCAGATTGCAGTGGCCTTCTGTGTAGCCTAAGAAGTTTTGAACACTGCGCATTCAATTATTTTTTCATTCATTCATTCTCTGCCTTGTTTCAGAAAGGTTTTAAGGCCCAGAAGTTTGAACCAATTTTTTTTTTCCAGTAATAGGGAGCTAATAGAGGTTTCTTAATTGGAAAATACTTGGTCAGCTAATTGTTTGTTTATTTGTTTGTTGAGATAGGGTCTGGCCCTGTCACCTAGGCTGGAGTACACTGGTGTGATCTGGACTCTCTGTAATCTCTGCCTCCCAGACTCAAGAGATCCTCCACCTTAGCCTCTTGAGTAGCTGGGACTATAGGTGTGCACCACCACACTTGGCTAATTTTTGTATTTTTTTTTATTTGTAGAGACAGGGTTTTGCCATGTTGCCCAGGCTGGTCTCATGAGCTCAAGCTATCTGCCTGCCTCAGCCGCCCAAAGCGGTTTGTTTGCTTTTGTTTTTTAAAGCAAGACAGTTGGTAAGAGCATGGCAATTGATAAGAGTGAAGGCTCTGGAGCCAGAATGCCTAGGTTTGCAGCCAGGCTGCACACTAGCCATATGAGTTTGGACAAACTACTTCATTTCTGTCACCCCCCATTTCCTCATTTGTAATTGGGGTTGTGGTGACGGTAAAAAGGGATAATATAGTTAAGCTAGTAGCACAATGCCTAACACATAATAAGTACTTCAATAGTAGGTGGAAGCAGGATACTGGAGGTGGTGGTGGTGATGTTGAAGGCTCAACCAAGGCCATGTCGGCTGGAAAAAGAGAGAGTATCAGGAGACCTTCTGAGGTTGTAAATGACATGCATTAATCTGAGTAGGGAGGGGACATGGTAATGATATTAACCGAGATGGGCACTACAAAACTGGAACAGGTTAGAGGTGAGGGTGCAGAGAGAGACAAGGAGTTTGCTTTTGGCCAGGCAGGTAGGTGGAAGTCAGCTCTAGGGTTCTAAGTAAAGGATTCTAGGGCCAGAGATCAAGTGATTGTCTCAGCCATTTGTGCATTCATTCATAAAATATGTATCAAATGCCCTCTCTGCGCCAGGCACTGTCCTAGGCTCTAAGGATAAACAAATAAATGAGATGTAGTCTCAAGAAACAATTTAGTGGAGAGGAAGACCAAAACAACAACGAAAAGCAAGTTATAAGCATGATAATGATGATTTATACACTAGAATATGGACAGGGTATCATGGAACTTGAGAGGTGGTCTCGGTGGGTGGTGCAAGTAAGGAAATATTTCCAAGAGGATGTATCCATGAGTGGAGGCTTAAAAAGTGGTAGTTTTTAGATGAAGAGAGAGGTGTATGAGACAGCAGGGCCTGACGGGAAATAGGAGTTGTGTGGTCTTGCTGGGCAGGATGCATGTGGAATGTGAATGGGCTTGAGGCTGAAAGTGTAGCCAGGGGCAGGTCATGTAGGGCCCAGTGTCACCTGTAAAAGCAAGCCACTAGAGACGTTTATGCAGGGAAGGCTCAAGAGCAGATTTTTATCTTAATATTATTCTGGTCACAGTAAGGAATACAAATGGAAGGAGAACAAGACTAAAGCCAGGGAGAGCATTCATGTTGTTCATTCATTTAACAAATATTTATCAAGCACCTACTGGTGCCAGGCAACAGTCCAGTTGCTGGGGTCATAGTGGACTGTGAGGTTCATGCCAGTCCCGGCTCTCACGGAGCTTATGTTCTGGTGTGTGTTGCGGGTAGAATGGGTAGAGCAGGACCAGTTAGAAAGCTGCTGTTGCAGCCCAAGGGAGAAATAATGAAGACTGAAACTAGTGCTGAAATGAGAAATGGATGTAAGTCTGTTTCTATTGTCGTGTTACAAATTAAAATTGGCAACTGTTGCAGATTGAATGGATATGGGAATCCTAAGAGAAGAGCTGTCTAGGATCAGCTTTAGGTATCTAATTGTTTCCTTCAAGTAGGTTATAAAATCTGTCAATATACTACCTACACATTTTGCCTATCCCTTGCTGGTTTGTATGCTGGATGGGTTACGTAAACTCTCTACCTCTGTTTCCTCATCTGAAAAATGAGTCTAATATTCATACAACTCATAGGGTCTTTTGAGGCATACAAGAGCTAATGAATATTAGGGTATGATAGTCAGCAAGTTTTTGCCATTATTACTATTGATACTGCACATGTAACATTTAATGTGGTATGGTGATCAGTACTCTTTGGTGGTAGTTTTATTTTGTTTTAAGAGACAAGGTGTCACTATATTGCCCAGGCTGGACTCAATCTCCTGGGCTCAAGTGATCCTCCCCCATCAGCCTCCCAGGTACCTGGGATTACAGGTGCCTGGCTTTTGTGGTTGCTTAATAAGTCCATGTTGAATGAATGAAGAGAACCAGTTCAGTAAATTCAGTCAAGTGATGTCTGTCATTAGATGAACCATCATAGTAGGTTAGGTATAGAAAAGGCTGATGAGAAATTCTGTAGATGTGGCTTTTTGGAACCACCTGTAAATATCTTCCTATAATTATAGAGGAATCTACCTGTAAATATTTTCCTAGAAATAAATATGTACATTTTTTCCTAGAAACACTTTCTTACCTGCAAGTACGATTTTAACTTATATGCATGCAGTTATATTCAATGACTTTATTTTTCCTCACATCCCTGTTATTAGATTTCTGATTTACACAAGAGCCTAGAACAGAAAGAAAGTAAAATCCAGCAGCTAGCAGAAACTATAAAGAAACTTGAAAAGGAGTTCAAGCAGTTTGCACAGTTGTTTGGCAAAAATGGAAGCTTCCTCCCAAACATCCAGGTAAGAAATGGCCTTTCTGTTGAAAGCCAAGATTTGGCTTTCAATTGCAGTGAGGGTTTTTCTTTTAACTTTTTAAATAGAAATAATTTAAAATATACAGAAAAGCTATAAGAATAAGATGGTGCAAAGAACACTTGTATAACCTCCACCCAGATTCACTCATGGTCAGTGTTGTGTCCCGTTTGCTTCATCATTCATGCTCCCCTCCACTGCTCCTCCCCCATCGTGTGTGTGTGTGCGTGTGTGCACGTGTGTGTGCGTGTGTGCATGTGCGTGCACATACTCTTTCTAAACCATTTGCGAGTACGCTGCATATTTTATGGCCCTTTACCTCTACATGTTAATACTTCAGTATGTATTTCCTAAGAATAAAGATCTTCTTTTACACAACCCCAGTACGTTTTGCAATATCAGCAACTTTAACATTGATACAATACTTCTATATAATTTATAGCAATTAGGGTTTTAATTAATGTTGGGCCAGTATTAATCACTTGATTGCAGATTCACTGAGAGCATCTGTAGTTCTGCATTTTGTAGTCAACAAGTGAAACTATTAATTCCCTTGGGAAGAAAATGCTTTAAACATCACTAAAATATAGCAAAAATAGTAATTTGTAAATTATGAACGTTAAATAACCATAAATGAATTCTGATGAATAATGTCTTTATCATGATTATAAAATTTATAGTGAAAAAGATTTCAAGACATGTGGTGTAGGCAATATATTTGAAATTTAGGTTATCCCAGAAAATCTAGGCCCTATAATTTCCATACTTAGCCAGCACATTATACATTAAACACACACACACACACCCCTCATATACAATGTATATGTATGTGAAATATGTATAATGTATATATGCATATGTGTATATACATATATATGTACAGATGCTCCTCGACTTACAATGTGGTTATGTCTTGATAAACCCATTAAGTTGAAAATATTGTAAGTCAAAAATGTGTTTGATACACCTAACCTATTAAACATCATAACCTAGCCTAACATACCTTAAATGTGCTCAGAACACTTAAATTAGCCTACAGTTGGGCAGTCATCTAACACAAAGCCTATTTTATAATAAAGTATTGAATTCCTCATGTAATTTATCAAATTCTGAAAGTGAAAAACAAAATGGGTACTTTGAGTAGCCATATCTTATACACACACAGGGAAAGGGAGGAGTAGTTTTATTTAGTCTTTTCCACCTGAGAGAGCAGTCAAAAGTTTAGGCCTTACTCAGGGCCTTCTGTACCACCCGTAGAGCTCAGGCCAGAACAGGGTGCGCCTATTCCATCTAATTCTCCACCTTCTAGCAGAGCAGGAGTGAATCAGGAGATTGGCTTCTAAAAAGAGGAAGAAGTGTAGGGCAAGAGGAGAGACAACATGAAAATAAATATATAAAGATGGGTTGGAGAACCAAGCAGAGGGAAACGGAGGGAGGATAAAAATTAGATAAAGAAAAGTTCAAACATTTGGAACAGGAGCTGTGGTAGGAGAGGAGGAGGAGGAGGAAGATAATTAGGTGGCTCATCTCTCTGTGATCCTCACTGAATTTTATTTTCTGGGCTTGTATTTTTCATTCTGTTAATTGATTAAATGTGATATGTTTGAATTGAAAAAAATTTTAATCTCAATGAATTGCTAAAATATTAACTAATTTTTTAAACATGATTATCCATTTTGTAATGAAAGGTTTTTGCCAGTCACATTGACAAGTCAGCTTGGCTAGAAGCTCAAGTGCATCAATTATTACAAATGGTTAACCAGCAACAAAATAAATGTGACCTGAGGCCTTTGATGGAAGCGGTTGATACAGTGAAACAGAAAATTACCCTGCTAGAAAACAATGATCAAAGATTAGGTATGTCTGATATTTTATCTCTCTTTTGGTGACTCATTTGTCTGCATGTGTTCATGAAACAACCAAACACCTGGCCAAATAGAGAGTCACATCTGTCCAGGATAAACAATGGCTGAATCTGCTATTTGTGAAAGCATCATGAGATTCTGGCCACTCAGGCAAAAATGAGGGAGGGCCACAAGTGGGGTTGGGGGACTGGGCTAGGAGATTCCAAGACTGGAAACAGGTCAGCAAATTCCAAGAACAGGGATTGATGACTTTCAATAAGAGTGGAAAATATGAGAAACCTCAGGGAGAGATGTGGTGGGATCATTGTTTTAGGTATGGGAAAATATTAAAGGGTTTGGCTATTTAAAAGCATTCTAGTCAGAAAAGTGTGGGGCTCAGCATGCTGACTCACGCTAGTTGAATGCTCATTGTGTCTTCTCTACACTTCAGTGAGTTTAAGATACACATCCAGGTTTCCTTGGAGGCAGTGTGCCAAAACATGATATTCCCTGAGTTAATATTATTACAACAAATGAATTCGGCTCATCTTTAGGATGTCAGGATTTTGTTGATTCTCTTTCAGGTAACAAAATTCCACTTTGGGAAAATTTTAAAGATAACTTTTAGGCCTATGGAATCTTTTTTTTTTTTTTTTTTCTTATTTGCAGCTGTTTTAGAAGAGGAAACTAACAAACATGATACCCACATTAATATTCATAAAGCACAGCTGAATAAAAATGAAGAGCGATTTAAACTGCTGGAGGGTACTTGCTATAATGGAAAGCTCATTTGGAAGGTGACAGATTACAAGATGAAGAAGAGGGAGGCAGTGGATGGGCACACAGTGTCCATCTTCAGCCAGTCTTTCTACACCGGCCGCTGTGGCTACCGGCTCTGTGCTAGAGCATACCTGAATGGGGATGGGTCTGGGAAGGGGACACACCTGTCCCTATACTTTGTGGTCATGCGAGGAGAGTTTGACTCACTGTTGCAGTGGCCATTCAGGCAGAGGGTGACACTGATGCTTCTGGACCAGAGTGGCAAAAAGAACATTATGGAGACCTTCAAGCCTGACCCCAATAGCAGCAGCTTTAAAAGACCTGATGGGGAGATGAACATTGCCTCTGGCTGTCCCCGCTTTGTGGCTCATTCTGTTTTGGAGAATGCCAAGAATGCCTACATTAAAGATGACACTCTGTTCTTGAAAGTGGCCGTGGACTTAACTGACCTGGAGGATCTCTAATCACTGTTTATGGGGCGATAAGAGGACTTTTTGGGGCCAGAACCATGGAGGGGAGCACATTTGATTATCATATTGACCTGGATTTAGACTCAAAGCACATTTGTATTTGCCTTTTTCCTTAACGTTTGAAGTCAGTTTAAAACTTCTGAAGTGCTGTCTTTTTACATTTTACTCTGTCCTAGTTTGAAACTTAAAACTCTTAGAATATTCTCTTATTATTTATATTTTTATATTTCTTGAAAGATGGTAAGTTTCTTGAAGTTTTCGGGGCGTTTTTCTTTTACTGGTGCTTAGCGCAGTGTCTCGGGCACTCTAAATATTGAATGTTATGGAGGACATAAAGGTAGCAGAATTCCAAGTTGAAAATGTTTTGATATTTTATTGTTTGGCCTATTGATTCTAGACCTGGCCTTAAGTCTGCAAAAGCCATCTTTATAAGGTAGGCTGTTCCAGTTAAGTGGTCGGTGACGTAGTTACAAAGATAATATGCTCAGTTTGGACCTTTTTTTCAGTTAAATGCTAAATATGTGAAAATTACTATACCTCTAAGTATTTTCATGAAATTCACCAGCAGTTTGCAGGTACAGTTTTGCAAGGCTGCAAAAGAACTGGTGAATGGGGTAAGCATTTTCATTCTTCCTGATGAAGTAAAGCAGAAAGTACTGCATAGTAATATGTAAGATATAGCTAGCCAGCTAAAGTTCAGATTTCATTAGGTTCAACCCTATGAAAAAAACTATTTTCATAGGTCAAAAATGGTAAAGACTTAGCAGTTTCATAAGATTCAACCAAATAAATATATATACACACACACATACATATACACCTATATATGTGTGTATATAAACAGTTTGAATGTATTTTGGTAACAGTAGTAAATCAATGTGAGAATGGATAGAATTTAGTATATAATAGAGAAAATGTCATAAATGGATAAAAGGAATTTACAACTTGAGGAGAAAACCTTTATAATTTCCTATGGGTGTCAGAACTACTCTCAGTGAAAACGGATGGCTAAAACAGTATCTACTATTCTCTGATAACTTTTTTTTTTTTGAGACAGAGTCTCGTTGTCACCCAGGCTGGATGGAGTGCAGTGACGTGATCTCAGCTTACTGCAACCTCCGCCTCCCGGGTTCAAGTGATTCTCCTGCCTCAGCCTCCTGAGTAACTGGGATTACAGGCACCCGTCACCACGCCCAGCTAATTTTTGTATTTTTAATAGAGACGGAGTTTTGCCATGTTGGCCAAGCTGGTCTCAAACTCCTGACCTCAAGCGATCTGCCCGCCCTGGCCTCCCAAAGTGCTGAAATTATAGGCATGACCCACTGCGCCAAGCCTCTGACAACGTTTGAATTTGTAAGCTGCTATGCAAATGGGCATTTATATAAACTTGTAATGTTTCTTGTCAGAATTCTGAGTACTTTGTGAAGAACAGAAATGATCATGTTCTTATGTATCTATCTGTATGGGTCTGAAGGTGTATATACAAATTATGATGAGTCTTTATGACTCTTGATAAGCCTAAGTTTAACAACAACAACAAAAATGCCAAGTTGTCCTGAGCCCTCCTGCATTGTTATGCCACTTCCCTACTGCTTATACGCAGGCTGGCTCCCCTGGGCACACAAAGATGAGTATGGGCCATGGGCCCCTATAGAGCTGCTCACCTGTTGATGACCATGCACCTTACAATTTCTGAGCAGTTAACCCTATAGAAGCATGCTTTATATGAGTGTCTTCTGGGAAGAGGAACCTTCTTAATCTCTTCTGTGGGATTTTCAAATGCTAAAGACTCACACTGCAGCAATTATCCCAGATGATTAAATTCAAGGAAATATGTTCACAACAGGAATATACTAAGGAACTAGAGCGTCGCTGCTGGTGAACTGTGGCACAGCTGATGCTCAACACATCACCTCGGACAAATTCAGGAAGCATTTCTCTAGCCCACAAGGCCAGACCCAGGTGCTCTGTGTGTTTGTTTTTAATGTTCTTCATCATATCCAAGTTCACTCTCTCTTCCTGAGCAGTGGACGATCGTATTGCTGTAACTTCTTTTGAGTAGTTGATGTGGAAAACATTTTAAAGTGAATTTGTCAAAATGCTGGTTTTGTGTTTTATCCAACTTTTGTGCATATATATAAAGTATGTCATGGCATGGTTTGCTTAGGAGTTCAGAGTTCCTTCATCATTGAAATAGTGATTAAGTGATCCCAGAACAAGGAGTTCTAGCGTAAAAAGCACCCCTTTTTCACAAAACAAGAGTTGTGATTTTGCTTTTAAACAAGGTGGATCTATGTAAACTATTTTTCCTTTTTTTATGAACGGAACAGTAATTTTTCTTCTGTATCAATAAGATTTAAATTTTTATTTCCATTTTGGGTTAATTTTGGTTCCTGATGAAAAGATAACAATACACTAAGCATAAAGGGGAAGTTAATATCCTTGAGAAAGTTACAGAAGGATTGCAGTAGGGGTGTGTGTGTTAATAATGCTTATTAACAAGTCTAAAATCTGACCCCTGATTTCCACATTTGGTATTTTCAGAGAAAACAAGAGACAGTCACAGCCAGGATCAATTCACAGTGCCAGTCCTGAATACAATAGGACAGTGAGGTACAAACCCTTTGTGTGGTCCCTGGATAATCAGTCCACACTACTGACTATCTCTTTTCTCTTAGAAAGCAGTTGGAGATATGTGTCTCAATCTTATATAAGAATTCTGAGCTGGAGATAAAGGTTTGATAGAGGCACAGTAGGGGTCCCAGGTGGTGAAATCACACAGGAATAACACATTCTATGGGAAGAGGAAGAAGAACCTGTAAAGCATTTGGAGAAGGAATGATCCAGAGGTAAGAAAAACACCAAGGAAGGTGGGAAGAGAAAAGAATGTCAACAGGGCCAAATGCCAGCTTGGGAACAGCAGCCACTCCCAGAGCACTCCCACAGCCCTTGTGAACTCACTGTCACCCCCATGCTGCTCTCTCAAGTCTGTATCTCTGACCCTGGCCTTTGCCATAAGCTGATCTGAGTACCTGCTGAACATCTAAATTCAGGAGTCCCCTAGGGACTTTAAGGACCATTTCACCATACAGAACTGGAAATCTTCCCACCCTCCCCACCACTGCCAACCTATTACTCCATTTTTTCTATCTAAGTGACATCATTGTCCAAGCCAAAAGTTTGGACACTATTCTAGATTCCTCCCTCATCTTCCCTGTCCAGTAACCCACACTGCACTGCGAATTTGACCTCCAAATAATTTCTTTAGAGGTATTCCCACTACTTACCCTTCCTCAGTACTACTGTCTTGTTTCAGGCCTACATTATTTTTTAAATCACAACTGTTCTCCCTATTTTTAGTTGTGCCTCTTTGGAGATTGACACTGTGACAGTCTCCACAGTGTCACCTGATGATCCATCTCAAAGAAAATCTGAGAATGACTCCCACCCCGCCCACACTGTGGCTTCATAGCCCATAGGAAAAAGCCCAGCCTCCATGGAGTGCCATACAAGGCCCTCCATGCCCACTTCTACCCTTCCAGCCTCACCTCCTGACATTTCTACCTTGCATTTAGCAACACCAACCCAAGCTATCTGATACTTGTCTGAGCTTGTACTATATGTCTATCTGGAATACTCTTTTTTTGAGATAGGGTTTTACTCTGTCACCCGGGCTGTAGTCCAGTGGCGCAATTACAGCTCACTGCAGCCTTGACCTCCCTGGGTTCAGGTGATCCTCCCACCTCTGCCTCCCAAGTAGATGGAACTACAAGCACGCAACACCAGGCCCGGCTAATTTTTTTTGTATTTTCTGTAGAGATGGGGTTTCACCCTGTTCCCCAGGCTGGTCTCGAACTTCTGGACTCCAGTGATCTGCCCACCTCAGCCTCCCAAAGAGTTGTGATTACAGGCGTGAGCCACCATGCCTGGCCTGGAATACTCTTCTCTATCCTTACCTTCTTTGCCTGGATAATTCTTGCCCTTTAAGATTCTACTTTGGCCTCACCTCCTCTGGGATGCCTTCCTAAACTATCCTTTAATCTGTAACCCTACTTCCACACTTCACCCTTAGTAACTGCCCATTGGGTTCATTTTGCCCACTGCCCAGATAGAGCTGATTTATCAAGACAAAGGAACTGTAACAGAGAAAGAGTTTAATTCACACAGCTGGTTGTACAGGAGACCGCAGTTTTATTATTGCTCAAATCAGTCTCCCTGAAAATTCGGAGACTGGGGTTTTTAAGGATAATCTCATGGGGATGGGGGCAGGTAGTGGGGAGTGCTGACTGGTCCCCCAGGAAATGGGGAGTCAAAGCTGTCCTCTTGTGCTGAGTCAGTTCCGGAGTGGAAGCCACCAGACCATCAATCTGGGTGGGAGCAGCTGATCCATCCAGTGTGGGGTCTGAAAATACCTTGAGCACCAATCCTAGGTTTTATAATAGTGATGTTATCCCTAGGAGCAATTGGGGAGGCTTAGAATCTTGTGGCCTCTAGCTGCATGACTCCTAAACCATAATTTCTAATCCTGTGGCTAATTTGTTAGTCCTAGAAAGTCTGGTCCCCAGACAGGAAGGGGGTTTGTTTTGGGATAGGACTGTTGTGATCTTTGTTTCAAAGTAAAACTGTAAGTTCCTCCCAAAGTTAGTTCTGCCTACACTCAGGAATGCACAAGAACAGCTTGGGGGTTAGAAGTGAGATAGAGTTGGCTAGGTTAGATCTCTTTCACTGTCATAATTGGCTGTCATAATTTTCTGCAAAGGTGGTTTCACCTTCACTATATCAAAAGTCCTTGCTCTGTGCTGTATACTGCCTTGCCCATAACTCGATTGCTCGACTTTTCTTTTTCCAGAAAACAAATGTTGACTACATACTTATCAGATTGTATGAGTTACAAATAGAACAGATATTGTCCGTGTCCTCCTCAGACTTCTAATCTGTAGGTCAATCACAAGTGGTACAGAAAAATGATCAGAGTGTAAATGTTCCCAGCCTCTGGGCTGGCAAAGACTTTGCCTCTCAGCTTCTCTCCCCAGTGCCCTAAGGAAGTGTACCTCTCAGAACTGTTTTGGATGTTTGTGATGCAAAATAAGAGAACAGGCAGAAAAACATTTGAAAGGTGAGCTCTAAGGGAAAGATTTATGGAGAATAGCTAAACAGATCCACATAAGGATTGGGGAGAATTAAAGAAGAGAGAGGACGGAATTTGAAACTATGGAAACACTGCCAAAGCAGCCATGGAAATAAGAAAAAAAACAAAAAACAAACAGAAACTATGGGAACTGCTGGGAACTGTGACTTGGAGCCTTTTTGATTCTTTTTTCTTTCAAGACACCCATGCTGAAGACTGAAATACGTTTTAAAATTATTTTTGGCTGTTTGAAATATACAATTTGAAACTCCACGCATAGACTCTATGGCCCCAGAATTATAAGACATTTGAACAAATTAAGTACATAACAATACAAGTTGTGACAAGTGCCTTGAAGAAAATCACAGAGTACAGGAAAAGATTGATGGGGCTGCTGTGGGGAAAATGTACTGGGGTTGTCAGAGAAGGCCTTAATTCTGAGGTAACACAATTATCTCATGTTCATGTGACATGTTTTCTGAATACCCAGCACTTTTCAACACCCTTATAAAGTCTGAGGAATTTCCTATGAGAAAACTTGCTTCCTTGACCCCCTTTGTAGCACAGCAATGTGACCTATGCCCCACCAAGCAGGCATAGTCAATGCAAAATTTCAACTTGAAAGTCAGCAAGATAGGCCAGGCATGGTGGCTCACGTCTGTAATCCCAGCACTTTGGGAGGCTGAGGCAGGCGATCACAAAGTAAGGAGTTCAAGACCAGCCTGGCCAACATGGTGAAAGCCCGTCTCTACTAAAAATACAAAAAGTAGCTGGGCATGGTGGCGGGCGCCTGTAGTCCCAGCTACTCAGGAGGCTGAGACAGGAGAATTACTTGAACCTGGGAGGCAGAGGTTGCAGTGAGCTGAGATCATGCCACTGTACTCCAGCCTGGGTGACAAAGTAAGACTCCGTCTCCCAAAAAAAAAAAAAAAAAGAAAAAGTGAGCAAGATGAAGAAGGAAACATGCCTAATTCTGGCTACCAGTGGGGACCGCCAGTGTTTGTGGAAGTTGCAGTTTTGGTGTCAATGGTGGCAGCAGCAACAGATTCTCACTAGATCCTCTAGTGTGTTTGGGTACTGTTGTTTCTACATTTGGCCTCTGGCTGTCCTGGAGATTCTGTGAGCTACATGATATTGTTAAAGTCCTTTTCTTTCTCAACCAGAGTGGATTCTGTTGTTTGTAACTAACTGCCTGACCTAATCAAGCTGAGATCTGAAAGATGAGTCAGCTGTGGAAAGAGCTGTCAGGGTGGATCAGTAATCTGGGCAGAGGGCACTGAAGAGTGTTGGTTCAATGAACTGAGAAGAGGATAGTGTGGTGGGAGTTTGGTAGAAATCAGGAGAATGATAGTTGATGAGGCTACAAAGGGAGGCACAGGGTTTAGAACCTGAGTGCTCAGGCCATGGTGAGAAGTTTATGGTTTATGTAAAGTTTAATGAAAGTTAACATGTTATGGGCAAAGGATGCATGATCTGATTAATATTTTGTCTCTTAATGTGGAGCATAGATTAGAAGGGGGACAAGAGAGAACATGGGAAGAGTATTAAGGTTATCATATTGAAATTGCATTTCATGTCTGTTCCCTCTGAAGGCGAGAACCATGTCTAATTCAAAAATGCATAGCAGGTGCTCAAACAGTGTCTTAAGCTGAATGAATACAATAATACGCTGAATTTTTATAACAACTCTGATAGGCAAGTCTTCTGCCCATTCCATAGATGAAAAATTTGGTAAAGAGATCCAAGTACTAGGCACTGTCCTAAGAATGTTACATATATTAACACATTAACCTTACAGTAACCTCATGAGGTATATGCTATTTTATCCCCACTTTACAGATGAAACAACTGAGGCACAGAGAGTTTATGTAATAAGCTCTAAGTTGCTCAGCTAGTAAGTGGTAGTGCTAAGATCTGAATCCAGGCAGTCTGGCCTCACAGGCTCCACTCTTAACCACTACACAGACTGCCTCATATGGATACTGATGAATTCTAAACACACACATACATACATAAAGATATACCTTTAAATGAGTTAGAAGAGTAACTACTATTCATAGAATAAAAATCAAATATAACTTTCAAACCACTAAAGTGGGAAAAAACTAGAAAAAGAGACTGTC